CAGAGGAACACCCTGGGGCACCTGAGAGCAAAATAAGGGTGAATAAAAACAGATATTATTTCTGAGAAGTGCTGTATCTTTGAGACTCATCATCCCCCAAAGATTCATCTGGTCCAGGCAGAAGATAACAATGGATATTAAAGCATCTGGACAAATACCTAATAAGGTGAAATAACCTGCACTTCAATGATGACATCAGCGAATACACCAGGGCCTCTATCTGAATCCCTACTTGTCCACAATCCTGGAAGACAGGACCCTTTGGGGGGTGGGTGGGGGAGGGGAGAGGGCACACCCAGAATACAGCAGAGTTGGTTCTGAGAGCTTTTTACCACACACCACAGGTTAGGTTTGAGTTACAGTACCCCATTTATGGTGAACCAACATATGTAATGTCCTAATCTGGAAGCCCTCAAGACAGCAGGTTCAAGAGGCATCCGCAGGTAGCCTGCTGTGTGGGGTTATTGTAACCTCTAAAATCTACATCATGGAAACCATCAGCCAGTGAAGCCATTTAGCAAGGAGGGAATAATGGCCAGAGAATTCAGTTCAGATTTGACCAAGGACTCCCAAATCCCCCAAATCACTCAGCAATAAGACAATATATGTACTGCTTTCAGACTTTCTACAACTGGAAATTTCTTCCACTTGATAAATAATTTGATGGTGCTGGCTATATATATGTACCTGATGTTGGGGGAGGGGGCTATACACAGAAGCACGAGACAAGGTACTCAAAGAACACTCGACATCACTGGAGAAGCTATATGCAGAGGAGAAAGAACGCAAATTTTTATGGTTGACGATGATCCAAGGATGGCTTTGGCAATATCTCTCATCCCACGTGCACTCTTGCACTGTGACCTTGACACTCCCCACCGAGAAGTGAAGAATACTTCTCCTCCCCTTGAATCTGAGCCAGCCTATGGCCCGATTTGACCAACAGAATGCAGAAGTGATTCTGTGTAACTTTGGAGGCCAGGCCTTAAGAGGTTCCACCTTCCCTGCTTGGAACACTCCCTCTTGAAAGCCAGCTGCCAGATCAAAGGGCCACCATGCTATAAGGAAATCCAAGCTACCCAATGCAGAGAACCTGCACACGGAGGACTACCAAAGCACAACCATGAGAGTGAAGCCTTCTAGGACCTTCCAGCCCAGCCACAGCAGAATGAAGCCAAGTGAGCGATCCAGTCCACACCACATGCAACAGAAGAACAGCCCAGCCAAGCCCTGCCTGAACTCCTGACCCACGAATCATGAGCAGATTAAACAGACACTGTTTTACGCCGCTGAGTTTTGGGGTAGGCTGTTAAGCAGCAACAGATAACTGAAACCAACTTGAAGCCAGGAAACTAGGGGTGAGTTCTGGTTCTGTTATGTGACCTAGTTATGTGACCCCGGGTGGACGACTTCCCCTCTGGACCTCAACTTCCTCATCTGTAAAATGAGGAGGCTGTACAAGGTGAGCTAAGGTGCTTTCCAGTTCTGACAGGCTGTGCCACACATGCCCAGATCAGTGAACGGGCTACGCAACGAGAGCTACGAATACAGAGGGAGCTACGACTTCAGGATGAAGTTAAGGAACCATATGGACGAGGAATCAAGAGGACTGGAGTGTGAGGCTTAAATGAGGCAGCACCTAGAACAATACATGGTCCATAGTAAGTGCTCACTAAATATCAGCTATAATCATTATTCTTTCATCTTATCAGTTCTGTGACTCTGGACAAGTTAATCTCTCTGATCCCCAATTTTTTCATCTGAAAAACAGAGAGAACACTAATGTCCCAATTTCCACATGAGGAAAATTCTGTGTGTGTGAAAGTCGCATGCAAATCAAAAATCACCTACAAACGTAAGGCATCACTATGTTATTAATACCCTTATTCTTTGCACCACTGTCATGAGAAGTCTTCTTCTCACCCAGCAAGCAGAGACAGCCAGTTGATGGCACTGGCCACCAGGAAGGCATACTGGGAGAGGGAGAGGGAGAGACAAATACAAAGGAGCCACACAAGCTTTCAAGCCTAGAAGGATTTTATCACCCACCCACCAGCAACGGTCAGTGAGCCAGGTGCCCTTTCTGACACGGAGGGCACTATCCCCTAAGAGCAGCTCCCAGACCAAGGTTATATCTTGAAAGAGCCTAGCACTACAAGTTTGAATAATTTTCTACATCAGAGTCAGAGAGGCCAACAACCTAAGGGTGCCCCACCAGTGAACCGTGAACCAGACCAACTGCCCAGCATGGAGTGAACATTCCATAAAAAATATTAAATGAATAAGCATTGCATTTGAGAGTCTGAAGTCAAAGCTCCCAGGTTTAAATCCTGTCTCTGCCATACCCAGCTATGCGCAATAAAGCAGGCAACATATCCTCATTTATAAGGTATAAGGAGACCCACCTCCGGAGAAGCAGTGAAAATTACATGAAAAACCTCTAGGATCCTGCTTGATAGTTAAATGCACGGTGTGTTTTTTAAGTGCACAGAACCTCTGACACCCAGATGCCCTTCAACCCTAGCCATAACCTTTTCAATCTCCGCAGCACCCTGAAAATGAGCGGCATCCATCCAAAAAGTCATTCCATCCAGTGTTGATTCTGAAAAACTGCCAGCCCTTGGGAGTGAAAGACCTGGGCTCATTTTCCAAGAGTTTCTGACAAGGCAGCACTAATACATTTACATTTTACAGCCTGTGCTTTTCCAAAACAAGGAATGAGTGTGGTGTGGATTTAACCCTGAAAACCCAGTGATCATGCAGTTCCACGGACACTGCTCAGGAGGGATGTGAAAACCAGCCAGATGAGGTGCTTGCCAGGTGCTCATGAGACAGAAAAGCTTCTGCTTCCACCTCTACTCAGGTCTTGGCTGACATGATTTGAATGTACTGGTGTCCAGCATCGATCACCAAGAGCTGGAAGTTAGGACCCAGTTCTCAAGGTCAGCCCTGTCCTTTCTTCCCTACCTCACCATTCTCAAAGCAGAACCCATGGTTCACCATGTCCCACATCTGCATTGGGAACACAGCTGGGACCAACTGTGGTTCCCCTTCCTCTTATGGTGCACCACTGTGTGTGAATCCAGGCAAGTTACTATAGGAACTACACCACACAACCCCCAGACATTTGCTTAGAAAAGAAACTACATGTTGGGAAAGAGAGGATAAGATCCAGCAAGCTGGAGGCAAGCCTGAAGCCACTGTTCCTCAAAGTCTGGCCCCAAACACCTGCATTAAATCACCTGGAATGCTCCTTAGAGGTGCACAGTCCTGGGCTCTCCCCAGAGGTGTCAGATTAGAATTGGAGGTGGCAAGAATCCGACTCTAACAACCTAGGTTATGAGTCCTAGCAAGGACCAAATGCAGAGACTGTGAGAAAAGAATTAAAAGGTTAAAAACACTTTAATTCTGATCTTTCTTCTTCTGTTCATTCTTGCAAAACAGAGCCCTGGTGAACCAAACAAGACAAAAGCCAATTTCCCAGTTTATGCATGTCCAAGAAAATTAAATCATGATGTGATGAAAACTCATACTTTAAAATTTAAAAACCTGCTCACCAAAGCAACAGGCCCGGACAAAAATTAACCCAAACATCCTATATTAGACCAACCAGCTCTATTCTGAGAGAAGCAAGATAAGATCTTGGCTACAGCCCCACTCTGGTCCCAGCCATACCCAGTAATTCAGCTCTGCATTCCACTGCAGGGTTTGATGTCTGGGGAAACAGGGGGTGCCCGCCTAGCTCTAGCAAATATGGCTGGGGGAAGGTTATTCAGGGAGAAAAAAAAAGGTAAGATTTAACAACTCACACATCTCCATGAGAAGGAAGAATAATCGAAAGTAACTGACCACAGTGGACTCATATCAGACACTCAAAAAGATGTCTCAAGAATTGAAGGAAATAGCCACCTGATGGAGTAACCCTTGCCTGAGATGCTAACACCCTGCCATCTACAAAGCCATTAAGGAGAAAAAGGGCATGAAGACTGTCTCCACATCGAAAGTACTACCTTTTCAAAACCAGAAGACACAACCTACTTGGAGGGGTAGTATTTTCTGTCACTTACCAGTGACAGGCACACAGTAGGTGCTGACCATCCCTGAGTCTTGCGGGGAGGGCGTCAAGCTGCATGAAGGAAGAGCAGAAACACTCTTCCCCTGTGATGGGCAGCAGGAACCTCAGCTGTAATCTCTGAAACCAGAACTCCTCACTCTGGGAAGTGCACCACGGGCGGTGGGGGGGGGGGCAGCCTTATTCACACCTCATGGTGCAGTACAGAGGCTTCCGCCCCGCCCCCTCTCCCAAGGATGGACCTGGGGCTTTGAGCTGAAAATTCCAGTCACCCCCGATAAATTCTTCAGCAGCGGTCCCCTACTAGCTGTCGAAACTTAACATTAAGCCACAAAACTAGTAACCGGGCAGCTTTCACCACACCTCCCCCCTTCAATGACTGGCACTTGCAAAGGAGTCGTGGCAAATAAGGCGTTTAGGAAGTGACTCTGACACCTGGCCGGGGTTACCTGGAATCTAAAAACAAAAACCACTCCTGTATTATTTTCTTCATTCAGGAAGCAGGTATTCCCCCTTTAAAAGACCTTCCTGAAAGCACCTCTCCCAAGGGATCCCAACAGGTAAATAACACCAAAGCTTCCCTAAACCGATTCTAAAGAACCACGTCCAGGCTGCGCTCACCCACTGGCTTCTCCTCAGAAGAAGAAGGGATCCGGGAAGTAACTCAATCAGTCCTGGATGGGTAAGGATGGGGGAGTCTGCAGGTGGGAGGAGGAGGGTGAAGCAATACCGCTCAAACTTTGCAGTTGCTCTTTAGCAGTTCTGGGCAGGAGCCCGCGGAATTCTATACAGAGAAGGGGAGTCACCCTCCCTAACAGAAAGGCCCCCAAATCAGCCTAACCCACCAGCTCTGCGTCCGGGATGGCTGCGCATCCCGTCCACTCACACATGCCCCTCCGGGGCAGTCCCCTCCCTGAGGCCCCCTCACCTTGGCCTCGAAGCAGATGCCGTGCTGGAAGGCGTCCTCGTTGTGCAAGGGGATCCGCAGGTCGTGCCCATCGTCCACAAGGTTGTACTTGGTTTTGCTGGGCATGGTGACCCGCGGTGGACCGGCTCCTCCAGAGGCGGCGGCGGTGGCAGGAAGGGGCTGGCGAGACCCAGAAGAGGGGAGGCGAGAGAGCTGGGGGCGACGGCGCGCGGAGGGGGCGCAAGCGGAGGGGCGCCCTGGCCGCGCGGCGGCCGTGGAAGCCGGGACTCGGAGCGACGCCGAGGGCCGGGCTGCAGCGGGCGGCGCGGATGCGGGCGACGCGAGCGGCGCTGTGGCCGCGCAATTCCTACCGGCGAGGAGGGTGGCGGGGGCGGCGGCGGGAGCTGGCGGCGCGACGACCGGGCTGGGGGAGGGGAGCAGTGGGCGCGCGGCCCGCGGCGGGACTGGGCGCGGCACTGGCCCGGGAGCAGTGGCGCGGACAGCCCGGGACAAGGAAGAAAAGGCGGCAGCGGCAGCGGAGCGAGGTGCCTGTCACGGAGACGCCGGATCAGCCGCCGGCGAGCGGCTCCTCCTGCGGGGTGGGCCCGGGCCGGCTCCTCCCGCGGGGCGTCCAGGCCCCGCCCGCCGCCGGGTCCGCCCCCGCGCTGCCCGCCGAGCAGGTGAAAGTCCCCGAGAGCGCCGCGCCCGGCTCTGCCCGCGTCCAGCGGCCCGACCCCGGGAACTTCGCCCTGGCTCTAGGCAGCCGGGATCTCAGGAACCCGGGCTCAGTCCTGTTTTTGTTTTTGGCAGTCAGAGTCTGACCCAAGCTACTGATAGCAGCAGCGGCGCCTTGGATTTTCTGTTTTTGTTTTTTGTTTGGGGAGGGGGAGGGGCGGTGTTTATTGTTTTGTTTTTATGTTTTACCAGGAAGGCCCAAGTCCTGGCCCATATATATATATGCAGATCTGCACTGAGAGTGCCCTTTTCTCTGGAGAATCAAGACTGCACCCAAATGGGAGAGTATCGCAAGTGCTTTGTGTTCGTTCCTTTGAGCAGTGATTTGTGACTTGTGTATTGGGGGGTTGTGGAGATGCCTTTGGGGATGGTTTTAGTATTTAAAAGCCATCAGCCTTGTGGAAATGGAGTAGGCCAAAAAAGAGTACTAAGGAAAAAAGAATCCACCACCTTTTTATTTTCTTGAACAACCTATAACCGGGTATGGACAAAATGAGCTCCCAAGTTATTTCTGTCTTATATTATTCTTCCTATCTTAGTAAGTGCTTGAGTTCAGTTTGCCTATTGTTAAAAGGAGGCCCATTCACTTTTCTCCTTTACATCAAGAGTTTTTTGCCAGGCAAAAATGTGCAAAGGAGGAGGCCAAAGGGGCAGTTACTGACCAATTATTTAGTATCTATCAAACCCCATGGGTAGAGGTACATGATAACTATGATTTACATGGCTTAATGTTACCCCAGAGTCACCAAAAGCAACCAAACAGGCCGGTGCCAAGGCCAGCCCAACCTGAGATCACTGAGACCAGATGGTCAGCTCCTCTGTCGAATTCATCAACTTAAACCCGCTTTTAATACCTTGTGGACACATCCACCCAGGGCAACCTGAAACCCAAACGTCATTGACTGCTTGTTGTATAGTCAAGGTTTGGCGTCACCATAAAGCATCACAATGAAATTACTTGCAAAAGGCATGTCTTCCTATACTATTTCAATGATAAATTTATGTAAGAGAATGCATTATTGCCATAATTATATTTCTGATTTTGTCCCATAGTGCTAACATACAATTGCCCTTTCCTATATATTGCCTACTCCCTATCTGCTGAAATTACTGCTCAAGATGTAGCATCTTCTGGGATATCTCCTTATATAAAATCAAGCTGATGACTAAAATTAATCACATATATTATGCTGTATAGACTTTATTCATAAATATTAGTAAGAACCAAAAATAATTTGCACTGAGGAAATGCACCACTAACCTTTTTATAAATACAGGACATGAAAGTCTAATCAGGCATGTTTGACTCTTTGAATGTCATCGTGGTTTTAATATGCATCATAATGCACTCTCTAAAACCTGGCACAGGAACTCAACAACTAAAAGGCAAGACCTTAAGTACTTCGTTTACATCTCATATTCCCTCCTGAATTTAAAAAGTCTTCTGAACGCCAAATGGCCTTTTTTTCTAGATTAACTTGGGTCCCACTGGCCTGCTACATTTATCAGAATTTCATATCTAACTCTGTAACACGTTCTTTGTAGACCAGACACAAAAAGCTAAAGCCCCAAAGATATTTCAGGATCTAGTATAGAGACTACTACATGGTAGACATCCAATAATTATTTATGGAATTGAATAATAATAATAGCTAATATTCATTGAGCTTTCTCTATGTGTCAGGCATTGTTCTTAGAGCCTTGCCTGTATTATCTCATGTATTATTCACAACAACCCTTAGGTAAGCCCCATTTTATGAAGAAACTGAGGCAGAGAGGGCTACATAACTTGCCCAAGGTCACACACTTAAATTAGAAAGAAGCCAGAATTTGAATCCAATTCTTTGTCAGGAAGTGTTTCCATCGGCCTGGATTGTCATGAAAATCTTCTTATTGCAAACGACATGCATATCAAATGCAGGGTCCATGTTTTACTTAGGTATATTTTGTTGCTAAGCTATATTTATTCCACTTCAGTTAGGTGAAATGTTCCCAGAAGAGGACCGTCCTCTGCTTTGGCCTACACCTACTATAACGTCAGAGCCACACAGGCACAAAAACACCCTTCTTCCAGAAACAATAGGCATCCAAAGTAATTTCCTTTTTTTTAAGCAGTGATTTCAATCTTGTTTTTGCACCTTTAAATGCAAGTGAATTTCACCCACAGCATTTCCAAATTTTTTTTAAGTTTTATTTCTTAAAGTGAATGATAGGTACGTGTATCACTTTCCATATCCGTCTGTATTTTAAATATTGCACAATACAATTTTAATCTGAAGTACATTTAATTAAAATATAAATTGCTAAAGCATACAATACTTCCTATGTTAAATTTTATTAAAACTTTGTTTAAAAATGAATTGGAAAAAATCCTAACACAGAACTTTAGAACTGGAAACTACTCAGAGATCCTCTAATCCAGCTCCTTCATAAAGCCAAAGGAATAGAAACCCAGAGAGGTTAAGTAATTTGCCTAATCATCACTATAGACTAGATCTCCTAACTCAGTAATCTTTTCATCACACGAATATGGGTTAAAAATAAATTGCCAGCAAACTTTATTTGTAGCACACAGTTGGAACTGAGAAAATTAATTGGCTTTTGATCATAAAATACCTGCTTTTCTATGCTGAGCACTTCCTGTGCATTGTCTCACTTGACCGTAAGAAGCAGGTACTATCAGTATCCACATTTTACAGATGAAGAAACTGAGGCTGGCAAGGGGAATAGCTTGTGTAGGTCATAGAGCGGTAAGTCCTAAGACTCCTTTCATGACTATAACCAACAAAGAATGAAGAGTATGTCAGCTTGCTCAGTACTGCTCAGATACACACACAGAACTCACAAAATCTTTATATAAATAATAGTATTAAATATTAACAACATGTAATGATTCCTTTCCATTAGCTAACAGTTAACTCCAAAAAGCTCCAATTATTTTTTCATGGCACCATTTCTACCTGACACTGTTTCCCCAGGCAAATAGATTTAGAAATCATTAGCCCATTTTAACAGGTGGCAGTAAAGATGTTAAGTGATTTCTCTGCCACCCCCGAAACATCCTCTATCACTAATAGTCTCTGATCCAAGTTTGGCTTATTATGATCTTTTCTTATGTGAGCAAAAATTTAGGATGTTTGCCCCATAAAAAAGCTTATTCTAAAAGGTATCACATATTCTGATGCTGGCCTACATCTTTTTCCCCTTAATTGAAACTGACACCCCCACTTAACCCCCTTTATAAGGACAAGCCACATTTCCTATTGAGTCATTTACTTCTGTTTTAAAGGTAAATCTTTCTACAAAATTATGCAAGTTATAGTTTTATAAATTGAATACTCTTTCTAATCAACTTCCAGACAGGTATAACTTTTGCGTTCCAAGCTTTCCTCAACAGCTCACTAGTGCAGGCAAAATTAGAGGAAGAGGGAATGCATGTTGAGTGGGACGAAGGGGCCAGAGATCCCTCCCTCCGTAGCACTTTCCTTTCTGTCCCAGAAAGGCATGAAACAAACAGATCGAAGGGTATAGCTATTTTCAGAGGGCCTGCAGACTGCTTAACAGCCTTCGTCCTCTTGGAACACTTGTGGAGAATTAAGAGATCTAGAGAAAGGAGCAAGATCTGAAGAATTTTGAGTTGCAGAAAGAAGGTTGGGTTTCCCTTTTTCTTATACATTCTTCTAAGAATCTCTCTTGGATGGTGTAGCCATTCCCTGCTTCTAATTCAAAAGATTCTTTTTCAAGTTAAAGTTAATAGCTGGGCTTCTTAGCCCTGCTTAATATTTCAGGTGAGAAATATTTATTGATTAGACAGCTTTTGGTCAAAAAGCCTTTCCATCAAAGACAATAAAATAATATTTAACAAATATTCCTGCTATAATAGTTTCCCAGGGGTAGCAGGGGTTATAAGAGAGGTATATACACCTTTAATGCAACAGACACTTTTAAGTGCAGAAGGTAATCTAAGTATGATCAAAGTAAAAAGTGAGAGGCACCATTTCTAAGTGTCATGGGAGGAAAGGGAAGGAGAAACTCACTGGGACGAGCATGGTCAGGAAAGACTTCAAGAAAGAGGTGAAGGGCTTCCCTGGTGGCACAGTGGTTGAGAGTCCACCTGCCAATGCAGGGGACACGGGTTCGTGCCCCGGTCCGGGAAGATCCCACATGCCGCGGAGCAGTTGGGCCCGTGAGCCATGACGGCTGAGCCTGTGCGTCCGGAGCCTGTGCTCCGCAACGGGAGAGCCCACAACAGTGAGAGGCCCGCGTACCGCAATAAAATAAAATAAAATAAAAATAAAGAAAGAAAGAGGTGAGGCTAAGTATTAGAAAAATGCAAATCAAAACTACAATGAGGTACCACCTCACACTGGTCAGAACGGCCATCATTAAAAAGTCTACCAGGGTAGACGCCTGTCAAGCCCAGGCAGAGTCCCTGGTGCACTGGGTGGCGCAGGTGGCGCAGATGGCCTGGCTCTGACCTGGAGGACACCAGGCCACCCTGTGCATCTCAGGCCACCGCCCTGCCCCTCCAACAGCTCCGGGTTCCCATTGCTACACACCAGCTGGGCGGTTCCAGGGATTTCGATGTCCATGTCTTTGGGGGACTATTACTTCGCCTGCCACATGCTTGTGGGATCTTGGTTCCCAGGCCGAAGGTTGGGCTCAGGCTCCTGTGGTGGGAGCTCCAAGTCCAAACCACTGGACTAACAGGGAACCTCAGACCCCAGGGAATATCAATCAGACTGAGGCCTCCCGGAGGTCATCTCAGCA